AAATTAAATTTATTTTTTATACAGCAGGTTCTTATTAGTTATCTATTTTATACATATTAGTGTATATATGTCAATCCCAATTCATCCCACCCCCACCCCCACCCCGCCGCTTTCCCCCCTTGGTGTCCGTACGTTTGTTCTCTACATCTGTGTCTCTATTTCTGCCCTGCAAACCGCTTCATCTGTACCATTTTTCTAGTGGCAGGCAGATTCTTAACCACTGCACCACCAGGGAAGTCCGGTGACCACATTTCTTATTTGTACATTCTCTCAGAATTTCTTGCTGGAAAATGGACTACAGGAGAGAAGAGACTGAGTCAGCTTTGTGTACTTCAGTAGCTGAATAAATATTTTAAATTAATTATTCATGTTAACCTATGATTTATAAACCTACATTGTGTACAACAACAACAGCTTTTAAAGGCAGCTACCAAAAGACTTCAATATTCCTGCCTCCCAGGGAAGGGGGTGTGCGCAGCTTCAGGTGGAGGGCGCACTTCCTCATGCTGCCTCCAGGGGGAAGGCAGGGCCTTCCTTAAAGTGTGGTTCCTAATGGCTGAGGAACAAGTGACCTGATCCCAAAGAGAATCAGCAGAAGCCCCCAGTCCCACCTACATTTCTGAGACACCAGAGCGTCAAATAAAGGGTGGGATGGGGTGGGCAAGGAACTGGAACTGGGTGAGACCTATCACTGAAGCAAAAGGGCTTTAGGTGACCTCTGAGGAAGAAAGGGACCATTTCAGGAAACAGTGACACTCCTTGGGCACTGAGGAATTTCCTGAGGGGGCTTATGAAAGGTGACATCCCCCCAAATTCTCTTTGTTCTTTTTTTTTAAATGCAGTGGACGGCACACTTTAAAAGCAGCCAGGGGGGCTTCCCTGGTGGTCCAGTGGTTAAGACTTTGCCTTCCAATGCAGGGGTGTGGGTTTGACCCCTGGTTGGGAAACTAACATCCCACATGCCTCGGGACCAAAAAACCAAAACATAAAACAGAAGCAATACTGTAACAAATTCAATAAAGACTTTAAAAAGTCTGCATTAAGAAAAAAGAAAAAAGAAATCTAAAAGCAGCCGGAAACGAAGGAAACTAATACTCCATGTGCTTTTAAAAATGGGGTGGTCACAAAGCACTGAGCTGATCTCCCTGTGCTACGCAGCTGCTTCCCACTAGCTACCTATTTTACATTTGGTAGTGTATATATGTCCATGCCACTCTCTCACTTCGTCCCAGAGGGGTGGGATAGGGAGGGTGGGAGGGAGACGCAAGAGGGAAGGGATATGGGGATATATGTATACATATAGCTGATTCACTTCGTTATACAGCAGAAACTAACACAGCATTGTAAAGCAATTATACTCCAATGAAGATGTTAAAAAAAAAAAGTGGATTGGTCTGCACACACAAAAATAAACTCAAAATGGCTTAAAGACTTAAACATAAGACATGATACCATAAAACTCCTAAAAGAGAGCATAGGCAAAACATTCTGACATAAATCGTACAAACGTTTTCTTAGGTCAGTCTCCCAAGGCAATAGAAATAAAAACAAAAATAAACAAATGGGACCTGATCAAACTTACACGTTTTTGCACAGCAAAAGGAACAATAAAAAAAAAAAAGACAACCTACGGAGTGGGAGAAAATATTTGCTAATGATGCAACAAACAAAGGATTGCATCTTTGTAAATGCAAATCAAAACTACGATGAGGTACCACCTCACACCGGTCAGAATGGCCTTCATTAAAAAGTCTACAGGCTTCCCTGGTGGCACAGTGGTTGAGAGTTCGCCTGCCGATGCAGGGGACACGGGTTCGTGCCCCGGTCTCGGAAGATCCCACATGCCGCGGAGCGGCTGGGCCTGTGAGCCATGGCCACTGAGCCTGAGCGTCCGGAGCCTGTGCTCCGCAACGGGAGAGGCCACAACAGTGAGAGACCCGCATACCAAAAAAAAAAAAAAAGTCTACAAATAACAAATGCTGGAGAGGGTGTGGAGAAAAGGGAACCCTCCTATGTTGTTGGTGGGAATGTAAGTCCATGCAGCCAATACGGAAAAAAGTATGGAGATTCCTTAAAAAACTAAAAATAGAAGTACCACACAACCCAGTGATCCCACTCCTGGGAATATACCCAGATAAAACTATAATTCAAAGAGATACATGCAGGGAATTCGCACAGCGGTTAAGAATCCGTCTGCCAATGCAGGGGACATGGGTTCGATCCCTGGTCTGGGAAGATCCCACATGCCATGGAGCAACTAAGCCCGTGAGCCACAACTACTGAAGCCCACGCGCCTAGAGCCCGTGCTCCACAACAAGAGAAGCCACTGCAATGAGAAGCCTGCACGTCACAACGAAGAGTAGCCTCTGCTCCCTGCAACCAGAGAAAGCCCACGTGCAACAATGAAGACCCAACACAGCCAAAAATAAATAAATTTATCAAAAAAAAGAAAAGACTATAGCCAAAAAGACTTAAAAAAAAATGCACAGCTATGTTCATAGCAGCACTGTTCACAATAGCCAAAACATAGAAACAGGGGCTTCCCTGGTGGCGCAGTGGTTGAGAATCTGCCTGCTAATGCAGGGAACACGGGTTCAAGCCCTGGTCTGGGAGGATCCCACATGCCGCAGATCAACTAGGCCCGTGAGCCACAACTACTGAGCCTGCGCATCTGGAGCCTGTGCTCTGCAACAGGAGAGGCCGCGATAGTTAGAGGCTCGTGCACTGCGATGAAGAGTGGCCCCCGCTTGCCACAAATAGAGAAAGCCCTCGCACAGAAACAAAGATCCAACACAGCAAAAATGAATAAATAAATAAACTCCTACCCCCAACATCTTCTTTAAAAAAAAAACAAAAAGCATGGAAACAACCTAAATGTCCATTGACAAATGAATGGATAAAAAAATGTGATACATATATACAATGGAATACTACTCAGCCATAAAAAGAATGAAATAATGGCATTTGCAACAACATGGATGGACCTAGAGATTATCATACTAAGTGAAGTGAGTCAGAAAGAGAAAGACAAATGCCATATGATATCACTTCTATGTGGAATCTAAAATATGACACAAATGAACTTATCTACAAAACAGAAACAGACTCATAGAACAGACTTGTAGTTGCCAAGGGGTTGGCAGGGAAGGGGAGGGATAGGCTGGGAGTTTGGGGTTGGTAGATGCAAACTATTACATTTAGAATGGATAAACAACAAGGTCCTACTGTATAGCACAGGGAACTATATTATATCCTGTGATACACCATAATGGAAAAGAATATAAAAAAAGAATGTCTATGTGTGTATAACTGAGTCACTTTGCTGCACAGCAGAGACTGGCACAACATTGTAAATCAATTATACATAAATTTTTTTAAAAAGTGGGTTGGTCAGAAGTATTCAAAGAACTTCAGCACCATAATCCATGTAGTTCCCAAAGTACCCGTGTTTTTCTTAAGGCAGATACCAGAATCCTATTTTGCAAAGAAAGAAACTGTGGCTCAGAGAGGTGAAGGGATTTGCCCAAGATCACACAGCAATATCCATACCTACTGAAGTCAAATTCTTCTAATTAGTAATAAGTCCTCTTCCATTACACTGTTATAAAATAATAATTATTAATATATTAAATTATTTGTTACAATTTGCAACTTATTTACTACCATTATTGTAATCAGAACAGTCATTCATTGAGGGCTTAGTCTCAACACTTGTGCAAAGCATTTTACAAATATCACATCCTCTTAATTCTCACCATAATTCTCTGAGATTGATAGAGAAGGAGAAAAGCAACCTCTGATTCGGGGGCTGACCTGGCACCATCACTGGCCTTAAGTTCTCCTGATGAATGTAAACATTTCACAAGACATCAACATCAAACAAGGCCATCCTGGGACCATGATATATCATGACAAAAATAGGACACTCTGTAATCATGTTTAAACACAGACAAAACCAGCTAAATTATACAAGCCACCCAAATGACCAAGCATCCCCCTATTCTGCCTCATATAAGTGACTGATGCTGCTTTACCAAATACAGCTCTAACTGCTATCTAGTCTTCCCTTCTTAGAGTTAAGATAAAGATACCCATTCAGAGAACTGCCCCACTTCCTGACAGCATTCATCCAGAGGAAAGCCAGCTTCCTGAAATCCTCCCCAAAATCACCCAACACAAGCCCACGTCCTATAAGTTCTTCCTAACATTCTCTTAATAAGATACCATATTGTTTTCCAAGGTGATTCCTATTCCTTGCTGCAGTGAGTAATAAACCCAACTAGTTCAACTAGGAATGGGAGTGATTTTAGTGGTCTCTGGCTAGAGACATTAGCAAGTATAAGCATTATCCTTATTTTATAATTAAAGAATGTAAAGCTCAGAGATGTTGAGAAATTTGCCCAAGACTACAAAGAAGTAACAGAACCAGCACCAATCTGTATCCTTTTTTATTTAAATACTACACTTGCTGTGGTCCCTGTGACTCACTTTCCTGTCTGTAGTGAAGCAGATACTCTCTGTTCTCCAAAGGTGCCTTCATCCCACATCTTCCCAGAGTCAGGAATAGGAAAACATTGTCAAAGTCACTCTACTTGGGAGAGCTGGGACCTCCTGTGTTAGGAAACTCATACAGCAGTTAAGTGACATCACTATGTCGCCATTTCCTCCCTTGAAGGATTCTTAGGATGATTAATCGAAGAATGCAGGCAAAATGCTAGCACAGAGCCTGGCGCACAAAAAGGGTAGTTGCCCTTCCTTAACTGTAGTAAGAAGCCCCCTCCCCACATGTGACCTCAGGCAAGGGGCTGCCTCGGAAAAATGGACAATTAAGCCCCATGCTTCTTCTTTTCTCCTTCTGAGAGTCCAGGAGAGCAACGTGCACCCAAATTTGACCTGGCCCAAGAAGTAAGGAACGAAAGCTTTCATGTTGAGGTGTCTGTCCCACGGGTTTTTGTGTAGCTTGGGGTGGCCATTAAGAGGTAGATGGTGCTGTAATGGGTTTACTTCCCATACCTGGTAGGGCCCAGTCTGAGGACAGGAAAAAGGGAGGTGACAACTGCTCTGCAGAATAGTGAGAAGGACCACCATTTCCATGGACACTATTGGTTAAGGTTCTTAGTTGCAAACAACAGAATCCACTCCAGTTAGTTTAATTTGAATATGAATTTATTGGAATATAAGACAGACAGCTTGAAGCCACAGATAGGAAAATGAGCAACATCACTGTGAGGGAAAGGGGCTTCTTTATTGAAAAGACCTCAGCCACTGTGAGGAATGTGCATCTGCATTCATTCTTTCCGTCCTCAAGTAATTATGGACCGTCTCCTTCGTGCCAGGAACTGTGCTTAGTGCTAAGGATAAAGGGAAGACTTGTTCTCATGGTGCTTAGAATCCACTGGATGAGACAGAACTAAGGCAAGGAGACCCATGTTGGGAGGAGAGAGGCAGGGCTCTGCTGAGGAGGGTGGGGTTGAGACGGACTCAGAGGAGACCACACTGTTTCAGAAGCAGCCACAGCCCAGCCCCGCGTGGCTCCTCCTTGACTTCAGGGTTTCGGGAGAGCACAGTTCGCAGGTTCTCTGCAAAAAGAAAGGAACTTGCTGATTGACATCTCTGAAGCCCCAGACCTGGACATCGCTCATCTCGACAGATCCTAGACTTTCCCAGAAATATGCAACCACAGTCCACCCAGGACCAGAATGACCAAGAAGAAGGAAGTGAATTTTTCAAGCCTAGGTGGGGTGCTCAGGAGAACTTTGGACATGCTCTGTAGGGTGGCTGACTCAGTGTTCCCATCTGAGAAAAGGGGAGCATGTGAGGAAGCTCAGATTCTCATGACGGGGCTTCTAGGGTGACCTTCTGCCAAGCTGGCCCGTGGAGGATGTGCTCAGTGTGCGGTTTCACAGGACACTGAGCCACTTCTCCTGGGAGGCAGCGAGGAGAAAAGACACTGTGCAGGTGTGAATGGTGGGTGGCCCCCTGCGCGCCATCTCTTTCCCCAGCCCTTCCCCTCCCACCCTGTCCTGCCCCCTTTCTTACCTATGGGTCCCCATGTGACCACCGCAGGTCTTCATGCAGTCCTGTGCTGTTGGGAAGTTGTTCTTCTTCCCTCGGCAGCCGCCGTATATAAACATGTCGCAGTGCCCGGACTTGGCGTTGTAGAAGTACCTGATCGTCCGGGCCCTGCATGGACCCGTGTGATGAGGTTCCAGGCAGAAGGCAGGCAGGGAATCTGCTGGAATGGGAGGGGATCTGGGTCAGTTATGAGGGTGGCCATCACAGGTTGGTCTACAAGGTCAACAACTGACACCACCAGTTTGTGATAGAGAATGTTAGCGTTCTGGGGGCTGGTCAAATTGAAAAGGCCATTTGACAACCTGCTTTCTGGGACATTAGTATTAATGTTGCTAGGCGTGACCATGATATGGTAATCATGGAAAAGTTTATATCTCCTTCATGAAGTATTTAAGATTAATTGGTATGATGCCCTTGATTAGCTTCAAAAAACTACCCATGTTGGGGCTTCCCTGGTGGCGCAGTGGTTAAGAGTCAGCCTGCCAATGCAGGGGGCATGGGTTCGAGCCCTGGTCTGGGAAGATTCCGCATGGGGCAGAGCAGCTAAGCCCGTGCGCCACAACTACTGAGCCCGAGATCTAGAGTCCGCCAGCCACAGCTACTGAAGCCTGTGTGCCTAGAGCCCGTGCTCCACAACAAGAGAAGCCACTGCAATGAGAAGCCTGCGCGCCGCAGCGAAGAGTATCCCCGCTCACCACAACTAGAGAAAGCCCGCGCGCAACAATGAAGACCCAACGCAGCCAAAAACAAACAAACAAAAAACTCTACCCATGTCAATTATATCTCAATAAAGTTGGAAAAAAAAAAACTCTACCAAAGAAAAGGAGGACACAGGTAAAAAATATTCTCCATATATTGGAGCTGGTACATGGGTTTTATAATACTATTCTCTGCACTTACTTGTATGGTAAAAGGTTTCCACCATTAATAAAAAAGTGTGAAGGAATCAGGCTGTAATGGAGAAAGGCATGAAGAAAACATACCAGTGTGTTCACTTTTGTTACCTCATGGGGACTGTATAAATTGAATATTGACACTATATTGATATTGTGATTTATAATAAGAAATATATACATTTGTTCTTTGTCATTTTCCTGGCACGGAGTTCCTAAAAACCTTGGTATTTCTTTTTCTTTTTAAGGAATTTTTTTGTTTGTTTGTTTTGTTTTACATTTATTTATTTTGGCTGCACCGGGTCTTAGTTGCAGCATGCAGGATCTTTTAGTTGCAGCATGCGGACTTCTTAGCTGTGGTATGCGAACTTCTTAGCTGTGGTATGCAAACTCTTAGGTGCGGCATGCATGCAGGATCTAGTTCCCCAACAAGGGATCGAACCTGGGCCCCCTGAATTGGGAGCAAGCCGTCTTACGAACTGGACCATCAGGGAAGTTCCTAAAAACCTTGGTATTTCTTAAATGCTGAGAGCAATAACGGTGTCTTTTGTTATGTGAAGTAAGTGACTTTTGGGAAGAACCTAGTAACACCAGAATAGGCTCTGGTTGCCAGGGGAAACCACTGCCTGACAGGCAAGTTGCAACTTTCATTCCTACTCTCCTCCAAGGCCTTCCATCCACAGTTCCCCAACCCCAAACCTCAGAGATTGGAGAGGAGCTGGAGGTCGAATAGTCACCAATGGCTAATGATTTAATGCATCATGACTAGGTAATGAAGCCTCCATAGAAACCTAAACACAGCAAGACATTCATGTTATTCAAAAGGACTGGCATCGACCCAGGGAACAACATAGGTGCACGTTCCATCATTGCCCACCTGGACCCCTGCAGCATCCTGCTCCCTGGGCCTCTCTGTCTCTGCCCTTCGCCCCCCAGAGGCCATTCTGCACACTGCAGCCGCAGGGATCCTGTTACAACTTGAGTCCTACCCCATTGCTCCCACGACCAATCAGTGACTCCCCATCTCTCTGAGTCAAATTCTGATTCTTATAAAGTCCTACTTGCCCCCATGGCCTCTCTGCCTCATCTCCTTCCACGTCCCGCCCCCCCGCACCCACTCAGCTCCAGCCACCCTGGTAATTGTTGCTGCTCAAACACACCAGGCACGTTCTTTCTGCAGCCTCGGCTCCAACGCCCCCTTATCACAGAGGGTTTCGCTGATCAGTCTACGGAAAGAGCACAGCCTCCTTTATCCCCATCACTCTCTACCTTCAAAACACTCATAACCTAGCAGAGTATTCCCCCCTTTTGCTATTGTCTGTCTCCCTCCTAGAAGGCAAGGTATTTTGCCATATTTTGTCTACAGTTCTTTCCCCACACCAAGAACCATGCTTCGTAGGGACTTAATAAATATATGGCAAGGGAATAAATCTTCCATTTCATGCTCACGTCAAGTGCACAATCACTGAATAGAATGGATATAACTGAATTCCTGTTAGTGCAAAGTCTACCTGATGATGGGGAAGGTCTACATAATTATCAATCTACCTTTAACATTCTGTATCTTAAAAGGATAATAAAATAATAGTCAAAAGGGGACAAAGGCGGGACTTCCTTGGTGGTCCAGTGGTTAAGACTCTGTGCTCCCAATGCAGGGGTCCGGGTTCAATCCCTGGTCAGGGAGCTAGATCCCACATGCTCCAACTAAGAGTTTGAATGCCACAACTAAAGATTCTGCATGCCCGCATGCTGCAACTAAAAGATCCTGCATGCTGCCACTAAGACCTGGTACAGCCAAATAAATAAATATTTTTTTAAAGGTTGGCGGGACAAGGGAAAGGGACTTGAGCCTTTACTAAGATTATATCAGCCTTGGTGCCAGGAGCAACTCACACAAGCATTGTGTTTCTTGCTTTCCCTGCAGTTGCTCAGCTCAGTGGTCCCACGTCTTTCTGATTAATTTTAATCCTAGAGGAATATCATTATTTAACACCTAAATATTTTTTCTTGCCCAAAGGAGGTGGGTAGAGAAATTTTTTCAGATTAACACATCTTGGTGGAAAACGGATAAAATTGGCCGTGAAATGTGATTAAACTCTTTAAATTCATGACTGGTAAGCTGTTCAAAGAACCCATGTAACATGGTTCCCCTGTTCAGTGAGGAAACTGCAGAAGACTTGCCCCAGGACACACGGCATGTGGGTCATAGGGTCAGGACAAGATACTATCATGTCACAACCCATTTGATAAACTATGTGATTCTGCCAGGAATTCTGAAAATACAGATAACTGGTAAGAGTTTCTGGGTGCAGTGTCCCATGTTCATTACTTCCCTATCTCTGAGTCTCACCTAAGCCCCTGAATCACAGGAAAGAGTGAGTCTGGGTAGTGACTCTACCAACATTAACCAATTCCCCAAACATCCACTGGGCATCCCACAAGTCAATTCACTTCTGACGCTAAATCTGTGGAGTGAGTGCAGATCCCACAGGTTGAGGGCTCAAGACTGTCCTTACTTCAAACGCCAGCCACGTGATCCCGAGTTACACTTGTAACCCACTGGCTAAAACTCAGAGGTTCCATGACCCCACCTCCATGTTCAATAACCAATAGAAGTGGTGACCGAAATCAGGAAAACCCTTTACTTACCGTTCTCATGTTATTATAAAGGGTAAAGCCCAGGGACAGCAAAATGGAGGAGATGCGCAGGGCAAAGGGGGAGCAGAGGTGTGCGGAGGCCCCGTGCCCTAGTGGAGCGCACCCCCTCACAGCACCTCCATGTGCTCACCACCCCGAAAGCTCTCTGGACCCCAACGTTTATGGAATTTTATTGAGGTGTCAATAATAGGCATATTGATTGAATCATCGGCCATTGGTGATTGGTCTCCAACTCAATACCCTCCCCTCCCCCCAGAGATGCTGGGATGTGGGGTGATGAAAATTCTAGCCTCTAAACACATGATTGGGTTTTTCTGGAGATGAACCCCACCCTGAAGGTCTCTCGGGTCCCATTCCTTTACTCACCTCATTGCCATAAAAAAGACAGTAAATTCCAGGAGTTTCAGGAGGTCTGTTCCAGGAACCAGGGCAAGGATCACATATTGATCCTTTTATTACACTACAGTGAAGTTCAGGGACACGGCACTGACCAGGAATAGAGAGTGTCAAAGATGGGATTCCTGATCTGGTAGAGGTAGGCGGGATATATATTTTAAAATTTTGACTTCTAATTTTTTTCCTGTTGAGAGTCATGAAATGCCCCTGGAGTTACAACTGCCCAACTTCCCAGGAGAAATCCAGAGAGGCTGTCAGCACCCACCCCAACCCTGCTCCCCAGCCCCTCCATGGACTCCCCTCATCCCTCCCCAGTCTGTGGAGGAGAGGTGAGCCGGGACTTACCTTTGGCATGGCTCTCGTGTTTACCCCCTGAGGTGCAGGCCACCAGGGTGCCCAGGAGGACGAGAAGGGCGATGGAGAGGCAGAGTCGGCTCATGTTCGTGGCCTTGCAGGAGGGCTTCTGAGGAAAGCTGGGGGCTGACAGAGCTTTTCACATCCCAGCTGAGGGGTGGAACACGCAGTGAGGAGGGGAGTGAGGAAGGGGTGGAGCTGGGCTGGGTCCTGTTTATTGCTTAATCTCCCCACCTAACCTGCTTCTGCCTGCTGGGGCCAAATACCCAGTAACAGCGCTTCTCAGACTTGACTCTGCCTGTGGGTCTCGTGGAAACACAGATTGTGATTCCACAGGTGGACTTTTGTCCAATATGTTGACTCAGGGAGCGTCCCAGCACCTAGAGCAGTGCATGGCGGGTGATGAGTGAATGAGAGCAAATCAAAGGACAGATAAGTGATCAGAAGTATGTTAGCTCAGGTCCTTCTTTTCAGCTCCTGCAGGTGTCATCCCATCTCAGCATCAATACCAGTCACCCACACCCCTACCCCTACCTAACTCAGAAGAAAGGTGTGACGCCAGGACACCTTCCTGCAACCATTGCCACAGCTTCTCAGCTGGATGGACCCTTGCTGTTTACCTGGCACTGCGGTGCAGGCTGAAGCTGAACTGGAAGAAGGCGTGTCCTCTGGGGAAGGAACCGTGTTTTCTGGGTAGAAAAAGGAGTAAGGGGTGTGGGCAGAGGGGAAGCAGGGAGCTGAACACGTCTCCACAGCATGACCTCCCACCGCCCCTCACCTGGTTTCAGAAACAGGAGAGCTGCCTGCCTGAGTGGACCTCAGGGGAGCTTGGAAGGTCGCCTGCAAGAGCCCCCCTCCTGCTGTCTCTCCGCCAGTGGTTTGGGCATTCTTGGACCTCAGTTTGGGTACCAGCTCTGTCTTTTCCTAACTTTCTGCCTGAGGACTTAAACCTCCCAGAGCCCCAGTATCATCAGGTGTCACCTGAGATCCGTGCTGCCCACATCACAGGGTTGCTGTGGAAGCAGTGGAGGCAACAGACATAAATTCCTTCTCCCTGCAAAGTCAAAGTCTTTGTAATGAAAATAATAGTAATGACAGCAGAAAAAACTTAGCTTCTTCTATGTGTCAGGCATTATCCTAAGCACTTGACACATATTAACTCATCAAATCCTCAAAAATCCTAAAAGAGGGAAAGAAACTGTTGGTATTTCCTCATGTTACAGAGGAGGAACCTGAGGTAACAGGAAATAATTTGCCTGAGGTCATACCTTGTAGAGAGAGTATCTGAACCCAGGGATCCGGCTTCAGAGTCTGTGCACATGCACTCTGCTGCGTTGTAAGCTGTAAACGATAGTGCACGTGTCCGGGCTTACACACCCGCAATCTCTTCACTCCCATACATTCACTCCCAGTTACACACATGTAGCACCAAGCCGCACACCCCCTCACTCATCTACACACAGACACGCATTCTTCCACAAACACACAGACACACACACACACACACCCTGCGCTCCACTTCCAGGGTCAAGGAGAAGGGAGCTGGCTCAATGCCCAGAAGCCCCA